TTTTTTTTTTTTTTTTTTTTTTTTTTTTTTGGTACCGGGGATTGAACTCAGGTCCTTGCACTTGCAAGGCAGGCTACCGAACCACTGAGTAGATCCCCAGCCCCTTTTTTACTTTTTTTTTTTTTACATGCAGATTTTTATACGTGGATGGGCAGGAAGTCTCTTTTTTTTCTTCTTCCATTAATGCTGGGGATTGAACCCAGGTTTTTCCCACTCAGCCATTTTTTGTTCTTTTTCTTTTTTATTTTGAGATAGGCTCTCCCAAAGTTGCCCAGGCTGGGCTTGAATTTGTGATCTGCTTGCTACCACACCCAGTAGAAAGCCTTTTATGTATGACGGGCTGAGAGCCAGCTCCAAGCTACTGCTCCTGGTCAGAGGCAATGCTTACTTTCTAAATAGAGTTACTCTAAAAAAAGAAAGTGGAGGGGATGGCTCTTGAAGTTTAGATGTCCCATAAAAAGGATACTGTATTAGGAATTTTTTTCACTTAGGTTTTATAAAAATTAGAATTTAGGCTGTGATAATAACATTGCTTCATTTTTCGTGCTAGCTAATAGTGAGTGTATCATTTGGCTTCTCCATAATTACTGAAACTATAACAAAGGAGAAAGAAGTAAGAATGAGAATGGCAATAACTGTTTTCAGTACCTTAATGAATTTATGTGCACAGAAGTTATTTAACATGGAGAAAAGTAAATGGGAAATGTCATACTCTGCTGAATACGAGTTTTTTTTAAGACACCAAATTAAAAGATACAACGTAATAATGCAACAAGCTTGGCTCTCCTGGGATTATAAATCTTTCTCTTAAAGTATTTGTAATTTTAAGAGTTGTTCATTTTCAGTGTTTTATAAAACTCCATTGTCACCTACATTTACAACTTGGTTATAGAACCTTAAGGTTTTCCATTATGCTTCTGGTTATTACTATTTTTTAAAATCTTTCAAAGGGGGGGAAAGGTTTTCACAGAATCTTGAGCAAATTATAGTAATTTAAAATTATGCATGCAATTAAGGAACTTTTTTTAAAGAGAGTATTAAATGTTGTCATATAGGAGTGAATGTCATTTTTAGCAATAATTGCAGTTTGCCACGTTGGTAAATTAAAGTGACTTGCTCTAGAATGATTATTTAGTAATTTCAGAGGCATGACAGTGATTTCTAGAGGTAAAGCCTCCCTCGCCAGGTCAGAGTTGTGCCATTGTGCACCCAGCTGGCCCACTGGGGTCCTTGCTGCCAGCGCTCCCAGGCTCCTATCCAGCTGTTTGTTTTTGCTGTCCTGTCTCATAGGACTGGCTGCCAGCCACAGCCTGTAGACTTGGAGAATTCAGATTGCGATTCTTTGCTCAACTGAAGGCAGGGAGAACAGGAATGAGACATGCACTTGGCCTAACTTCCCTTGGCAGGGGCCAGAGGACCAGTCATCTTCTGCATCCCAAATAGAGCATATTTTGTAGCAGCCTGGAGTTGGGGAGGAAACTGACTCTTGCTGTGACCAGGCTGACCAGACCCTCTCCTGTCCCTTGTGATCATCTCACTTTGCCTGCACCCATTCTCCTTTCTGGTTTTCTTGCATTCATTGAATCCATACATTTATAGACAATGTTGCCACTTCAAGTGGTAGGCAAGGAGAGCTTGTGATGATTGTTAGAAAATGTCCACGCAATTGGGAAACATTTATGGAATGAATCATTTTACTGCCTTCCTTTAAGCAGCATGATCCAGCTAGAGCTGCTGCTCAGCCACCAACTGCTCCATGACAATAACTCATTTTGTGCTCTGAGCTCATCTTTGTTCTACTTGCTGTGAGCCTCAGTTTTCTCACCTACAAAATGGAAAGGGCAAAAGACCCTGTCTCACAGATTGATCAAAACCTCACACTTAAGCTTTTGGGAAAGAGCCTGGCATTTCTTACATGCCCAGGTGAGGTGTTTTTATTGATGCTTTGCCTCATCTCTGGAAATGGTGACTGCTGCAGACACCTGAGAACTTCTGGATGGGCCTAATAAAGGTTGTGAATAGAAGCTGCCTGCCTGGAATCTGACATTTCCTGGTGAGTCAGGTCTGTCCTCCATCCTATGGAATCTCCCTACTTCTCTGTGCTCTGGATGGACTGGGGAGGAAGAGGGCAGATGTTTAGGTTACTAGGGACCTGTGCTTTTGTCCCTTCCACACACACAAAAAAAAAAGTGATAGCAACAGTAGCGATTAATACTTATTTAGCACCTGTGAGACACTGAGTGCTATGCTAAATGCTTTATGTATGTGTATACATACACTTTACATAGTTGCTTTTTTATACACATCCATTTTTTATTTTCACAGCCATTAACAGAAGTGAAACTGTTTCTTCTCCACTTCTCGGTTGAGGGAATACAGGCCTAAGGGTTGGTAGCATTCCCTGATTCACATGGCTGGAGAGCTACCTGAAGCTGAGCACACCCGTACCATGTCAGCAGGTGCATTCATCATTGGATGTGTTTACAGACCTGCCTGCTGAGTAGACTCACTGGGGAGCTCTGGGCGCCACAGCCTCAGTCCCAATTAAGTCAGAATCTCCAAGGGTGGGGCCCAGGCACTGGAAACTTTCATGTTCCCCAGGGTTTCAAGGCACAGCAGGTTGAGAACCACAGGTCAGGGAGGATCCACAAACTAGTGGGAGGTTACATGGTAAAAATACCTACACCACTGTACCAACAAAAGAAGTTTTTTCCCAGGAGCTGGTGGCTAAAGCATGAATTGATGACAAACATCTTTAGGAAAGCTGTGCTTTTAATCACATACCTTCCAGGTGAAGTCTTACAGGGACTGAATGTACATCTTCCAACATTATTTGCAAAGAGAAGCTGTGGGGCAGAATGAGGTGGTGTCCTGCTTGTGTTTTAGGAAGGATCTGCAACATAGAGAGGTTGAATAATTTTCTGACAGTCACACAATGAGTTAAAGTGGCTGTTTGAGAATTCAGACCGCTCAGTGGGTCTCAAGAAAGGATGGGGTTGATATGCTAGGGACATGGTAACTGGCCTAGCAGTTACCCAGGGGATTTACAAACTATCCTGTATTGTGGTGCCCAGCCCTGTGGTCTGTTTCTGTGCTTGTAGGTCACCTATACTCTTCTCACTCTGAACTGGTTTCCTAGGGCTTGGGAATAAAATTTCCAAGTACTCCTTTAGCATAAGCTTATTCTTACCATACTGCTAATGATTATTTAAAGGGAAACAATTTAAAGCCATTTATTTAGCCCTTTGAATTTTAAAATACATTTGATTTATATTTGAATCTGGTGATATTTTTAAGAGTAAACCTATGTAGATTGGTAGCAGAGGGAATTACGTCATTCATCTGAACCTCACATTAACTGTCAGTGTTAGGACAGGAACCCTTTTTCTGATTTCTTGCCCACCATGTGTTTTCTCCCTTCCCATGCTGGTGGCAGTGGGAATTGGGAGGCTGGGTTGATGCCCACCTGGGTCTGGCTACTTCATGGTGCTTCTGATAAAGTAAACAACTGAACTGATGGTCAGGGTGCCTACTAGCTCCACAGGGCCTCCTTGTCACTTTTTATGTGACTTGTCCTTCCTTACATGTCAGTGATGGCTGCAGAGGTGTGAAGGGCCTACTGTGTGAGTGTCCTTGTTCATGGACGGGGGGCTTTGCATGCCTATCTTCTTCTCTGTGAACTTTTGTCTTAGAACCAGTGCCAGGTGTAGTGGACCTAGCAGGGAGACAGCATACTGAGGGGTGGAGAGAGCTGAGGTTGGTTTATACACAGGGAGGGGATTCTGTGCAGCTTGCGGCACTTTTCACTGAACGGGAACCCATTGAGAGCAATCGATCCTTTGACACCTGTGTCTGCGGGACAGGGGAATATAGAAGGGTAGTTCCATCAGGCTGGAGACTGCTTGGCATTATTTTGGGATATGACTCAGGGCTGAGTTGCTTCACTCGGGGACGTCAGAGGAAGGACCTCTGAGAGAAGGCCTGAGAGGAAGCAGTAGTCCTAGATATTGCGGGGTTCAGGCTTCAGCCGTAACCAAGACATTTCAGATTTTACGTGTTGGATTCTAACTTGTCAGTATGTCATTGTACACCCCAGCTTCACCATCTAGTCGTATCAATCTCCCACACCTATCAGTTTGTAAATATTCTGTCAGCTGCTAAAGTGGACACATGTCACTGAGATACCCTGAATTTTACATGCCTTTCATCTTTCTGTACCTTTTAACTATCCTCATGTGTCTCCGGTCATATAAATGACACTGTCTCCTTGGTTTTCACATCTCATGGGCAGCCCAGGGGTCATCCCAGGGCTTGCCAGGCGGAGTGATGCATGCAGGTAAGGAACACTGAAGGGAACGGCTGAAAGAAACTTACTGGGCATCTCAGTAGGTGTAGAGGGAGCATCTTGACTTTGTGGTGACCTGGAGATTTGAAGGAAATATTGACATAGCTAAAATTTGCATATGTTCAGTGATTTTATTTTGAAATCTATAGATAAAATATTTTCCCTGATAATTTGCATCCAAGACATTGAGTATTCACTCAATGGTGGGTGTAGTAATTAGCAAAAGCAGTAGAAAAGTCTTGAGTAGTATCATGTTGCCAACAGTCCTCTGATCATTAATTGCCAGAAAATGAAGTTTTGATTTTTGTTTAGGTTAAATAGGGATTTTATTCAAGTATGATTCCCAATCCAACAGCATCAGTGTCTCACAGGAACTCATTAAAAATGTACCACCCAAACCTGAGTCAAAAAGGCGGGGGGCAGGGACTGTGCCTTAAAGTTTTATTTTCAGTTGTGATAAACACATATTAGGAAATTTACCATTTAAATGCACTATTTAATAAAGTCTATTTGCATTGTTGTGCAGCAGATCTCTAGAACTAGTAAATCTTGCAAATTTTCATCTTGCAAAAAAACAAAAACTCTGTAAAGCATTAAACAACTCTTAATTTCCCCTTTGCCCTGGACCTGAAAACCATTCCACTTTTTGTCTATGCTTTTGACCACTCTAGATATTGATTAAGTAGTGTCATACAGTGTTAGTCCTTTTGCACCTAACTTACTCAACTTATAATGTCTTTATCTTCATCTCTCTTGTATCATGTGTCAGAAATTTCTTCCTCTTGAAGGGTGAACGATATTCTACCATATGTTTGTACCACATTTTCTTAAACCATTCATCATTTTCTGGTCACTGGAGTTGCTTTTGTTTCTTAGCCATTGTGAAAGGTGCTGCAGTAAACATGGTAAAAAGCTCTTTGAGATCCAGCATTCAATTATTTTAGATATATACTCAGATATGGAATTGCTTGCTCATAGGATTTTTTATTTTTAAGTTTTGGGGAGAACCACCATTTTTCCATTATGGTTGTACTGTTTTACTTTCCCACCAGGAAAAATGTGTATTATTGACATATTCCCCTGGAATACATCTAAGATTAAATTTCCATCTTACATCTAAGATTAAAATTATACAGAAAGTTGAGAATACTGCCCTTCTCCATGAAGGTTGTTGAGCCTAACATGCATGTGAGAAATTAATCTTGTTGGGGGACATCGTCCAACAGGTGAGCCGTCTCCTGATTCTGGCTGGGGCCAACGTGAACTACAGGACCGAGGTGTTGAACAATGCCCCCATCCTGTGTGTCCAGTCTCACCTCGGCCACGAGGAAGTTGTCATCCTGCTCCTGGAATTTGGCGCCTGCCTGAATGGCATGTCAGAGAATGGCATGACCGCGCTATGTTATGCTGCAGCTGCTGGCCACATGAAGCTGGTGTGTCTGCTGATAAAGAAGGGGGCGAGGGTAAGCAGCAGCCTTCCTCACCATGGGAGATGGCCAGAGTGTGGGCTGGGGATGGGAACCATCGGCTTCCTGTCATTGCTGGAATTGTTACCCTCCAGCCAGCCTTCCTTGTCTCTGCTCTGTGGAATTACAGCACGTTGAGGACCGGAAGCCAGAGCTGAGAGGGTGGGGCTGCACTGCGGTCAGTTTGTATGTTGGTGGGAGGAGCTTCACTCCTAAACTGTTTCTCTGCTTAGTGTTGACACAGTAAGAGGCACCAGGGAAACTAGCTGTGGGCATGTGTGGGGCCATCTTTTCAAAGCCTGCAGGTGCCTCCGATAGCTAGAGTTTAACTGTAGAATTTAATAAGGCACCACCATTGGTTGCAAAGATTTTAGGTGTTTTATTAGCCCTCTCTTCCTCTGCCATTTTATTCTGTGTCCTAAAACAATTGTATGAGTGCTCCAGAGTCTGAGAAGCCACGTGCTTCTCCATTTGCCAGTTAGAACACGGGGTACATTTCTGAGCTACAAAAAGTCAGGCTACTTCTCATTTTCTAGGTGGAAACCACAGGAGAATTACCCACAGTGCTGCTTGCTCTGTGAGCTTTAAATCAGCTTCCGAACTATCAGTGATAATAGATAAGTAAGAGGATGCCCAGCTCACAGTAAACTCCTTCTAGGTTTACTATAAACTTTTTGTGGACAGGGTTTGTCTTTTGAATAACAGATAAACCACTTGTAATTGTCTTTTCCCCTTTTAGTTAACTAGGAGATTTAAAGATTAAAAAAACCAACACAGAATATTAGTCTGTAGTAGCTGTACGGTCTCTGTGTCTGTCTGTCTGTCTCTTTGTTGCTCAAACTGAACTTGAGACATTTGAGCTTCAACTCGTGGAGGAAGGGAATGTTTGGCTCAGCCTTGGCAGTGGTGCCTCACTGCTACACACCGCACACATTCATTTGCCACATGCCAGCTTGGTGTTCTTTGGCTTCTCTCTGGGGCCAGCAGCTCCCCTCCCGTCACAACTGAAAACTCTGTAGGAGGAAGCCAGCTATCCCGTTGGTGGCTCTTAGAAAGATGAGGATGCAGAGCGCCTCCGAATTTGCAGGCATGGTGGGACTCTGCGGTGGTCCCTAGCCTCCTCTTCAGCCCCAACATTCCCTAGGTGTGGACAGGGAGATGGGCTGCCTGCTGCCTGGGGTCTTCGGGGGTTTTTTGAGACAGGCTGTCATATAGTTCAGACTAGCTCAAGCTGGCCTTGAACTCACAATCCCTCTGCCTCAGCCTCTGAAGTATTGGGATTATAGGCGCCTTTGGGGGCTTTAGCAGGTGTGCATCTCCCATATAGTCTTCCTTGCTGGCTGGCTGCCCTCCCCAGTTTTCTTACATGCCAACATGTCGCAGGTTGCCTGGACAGCCTCCCCTTCCTGGACTTCCTCATTCAGAGATATGCCTTCTGGATCTTGCCCTGTCTTCTCTGGTTGCCCTGGTTCATTGATGAAAGAACTGTTCTTCTCCCCGAGATTACTGTTCCTTCACAGCAGGCACCACCCAGGCACCCAGTTGGGAAGCACAGGACTTTGTCACAGTGTTGGTCTGTACCTTCATACATATTCCCCGGAGGACCCCGAGCTCCATGCAATTCCCTGCACATTCAGTGGGGGTGTTCTGTGAACACCGGTCCTGTAAAGGGAGCCTGATGCCTGGATCAGTGCTCCCAGGGCCACGAAGAATGTTGGGCTTCAGTGCTATCCAGGAAGAGGAGTGGGAATGTGGACTTGCATCCACTTGGAGCTGATGGGGTTTGCACACAGTGCTGGGGTCATCTGCCTTTTCAAAGGAAAGAGAGTACTTACCTGTGTCCGCCCCTGCTCTTACCCCACAGGTAGACCACTTGGATAAGAAAGGCCAGTGTGCACTTGTCCACAGTGCACTGCGGGGCCATGGCGACATTCTCCAGTTCCTGTTGACCTGTGAGTGGTTGTCAGGCCCTCCCCAGCCTGGCACACTGAGGAAGAGCCAAGCCTTGCAGCAGGCACTGACGGCGGCAGCCAGCATGGGCCACAGCTCGGTGAGTAGGCCGAGGGGTCCTTCCTGAGAAAGAGAGGCTGCAGCCCAGGGTCACCTGTTTTCTCCAGTTGCCGTCTTCCAAGCTGTGAGCTTGAGGAAATGAACGGAAGCTGAGGATTGCTTTGGTCCCATGTTCAGGGCTTCTGTGGGCATCACACTTTCTTACGAATGAGGCCTGTGCTCTTCTGTGAATGTGAGAGGACAGGCGGGCTTGCTCTTCCTATGCGAGGTCTCTCCCCTTACTGCTCACTCTACACTCTTCCTCCTGCTTCTCTCTTTGTTCCCTATACTATTTTTACCCTCTACCCTGCTCTGATTCATTTTTCTGTCCTTTTTATCTTTTTAAAATAATCACATGGAATCCTAGTTCTAAAATCATTCTTGAGGATTTGAAGGGTTTTTAAAAATAGAACTCTAATGCTTTGATAGCATTTACGAATGCTTGTCATTTGCAGTTCCTACCCTGAAGGAAAACTTCATGCGGCGGTTAAATAGAGCATTTATTTCTGGTAGATGTCGGTATTCCTCAGTTTGAAGATTTAATTGTCATTTCCTGACCTGTGTCTAAGCTTTGTGATTTTAATAACATTTTACTCATTGCTCTTTCTTGTGTTTCTCACTGTATTATCTTCAAGCAATTAGAGGTGCCAGCATTTGGTAAGATTCTTTTCCCAAAATGGCATAAACTACATTTGCATGCCAAGCTGGATGCCTGACATTTGGCACTTAAACCCAGGGCAGAAACATACAAGTATGCACTGCTGGCTGGCTGAATTTTGGCATTTAAAACATTAAAAGCTCATGTCATAAATGTACAGAGAGAGTGTTAAGTACACATATTATAAATGTAGATGTTTCTCCTTTCTAAACTGTTCCCTAAATCTAAGTGGATCATGAATGTGAAAAGTCACCATCGGGAGGACAATGGACACCATGTGTAGGTATAACTTTGCCTCAGTTCATGTTATCTCCTCCTTTTAAAACTGGCCAGGAGAAATGTCTAGCAAAATCCATCTCAGCACAGCCAGTAACCATTTCATGGAAAAAAGCAGGACTTAGACGCCACAGACTTTGTTAATGCTGTTGTACCAAATTAGATACTACAAACAGCACACACTCACTCTTAGAGTTCTCAGGGACAAGAGTCTAAAATTAAGGTGTGAGGAGGCAGGCTGTACTGAGAGAGTCATCTACCTCCCTACCACACTCTCTCTCCCTCCCTCTCTCTCTCTCTCTCTCTTTCATTTTGAGACGAAGTCTTGCTAAGTTGCCCAGGATGGGCTCAAACTTGTGATTCTCCTGCCTCAGCCTCCCAGAATGCTGGGATTACAGGTGTGCGCCACCATTCCTAATTCTTCTCCAGCTTCTTGAATTCATCTATGTCTCTTCTCCAACTTCAGAGTGGATCACTCTTAATTCATTCTGTATCCTCCTTCCTCTGACCCTGATTTCTCCTGTGTTCTTTTTTTGTTTTTCTCATTAATTTTATTGGTACATTTTAGGCATATAATATAGTGACATTCATCGTTGGGAATTTGCACCTTTACATCATCTGTCTTGGTTCTTATTTTTTTCTCCATTCCCCTGCCCTCCCTTCAACCCCTGGGTCCTTTCCTATTTACAAAGACTTTGTCCTGTGTTCTTTTTAGAACTGCTGTGTATGTATTAGGCGGATAGCAGATACACTGTGCATGCTGGTAATTCAGAATGATTCACTCCATTTTAAGATTGGTAATCATATCTGCAGTTCTCTCTTGACATTTAAAGGAACATTCATAGGTTTGTGGAATTAGTGGACGTGTTTCAGAACTGTTATTCAGGCTACAGATTGTGATGCTGAAGATGGCTTTGACTTGCTCTCCTGTTGCTGCTCTTGCTCAGGGTGAATATTGGATGTGGTCTTGGGCCCAGATCTTCCGGCTCCCTTCCACCTCCATACCTGTAACCTAACCTACTCTTTGGCAGGAAAATGTCCAGAAAGAGAAAGAATAATGCTGCCAGTCTGAAAATCGTTTGGATAATACTTTAAAAAATCGTTTTGCTTATAAAATATAGCCTTTATTTTCCTTCCTTCTAAACAATGGATTCACCATCATCTGGTGATATATGCAGAAACTGCACTTTATGTGATCTTCTGTGTCCTTTGTTGATTAGGCTGGCATATTTGGGTCAGGTTGGAATTCATTAGAATTCTGAGTACCTAGTAATCCTGAACAGTGTTGCTGAAATTCACTGAGATTGTTTTTTTTTTTTTAATTCTTCTGCAAGTGAAAGTGTGAATAGCATATGAATTATGCTTGAAAATGATTTTCATTACATTTTCTCTCCTAGTGCAGCATGAGATAATAATGGTTAAAAAACAACACTTTCCTTTGATATATGGGGTATCATAAGCACCTATTGCTATGAGAACTCATTAAATCACTTTGCCACTTCTGACAGGTGGTCCAGTGCTTGCTGGGGATGGAAGAGGAACGTGAACTAGAAGTCAATGGCACTGACACGTTGTGGGGAGAAACAGGTAATTATGCTTCCTCTGCTTGTAGTTCCAGGCAGCTTGCTTCATGTTGGAGCCCCCATTGTGGCCTAATTGTCTTAAGACTGACTTGTGATGCATGTAGACCTATTTTTATTTTATTTCAAGGCATGTGAAGTTTAAGGTTAAAAACTTTTCAAACAAGCAGTAAAGCTTTGCTAGAAGCACATAAAATTTGAATCATTTGACTTAGACCAGGAGTTGCCTCTAAGGAATGTTATAGGGAAATACTTAAAGTATTCTGTTTGCCAAGTCATCACTTGTCCTAACCCATCTGATTGTCCTATGACTCACGCAGGAACTTCCATCCCCATTTTAGGTGAATCAAAGATGGTTCAGTAGGGAGGATTAGGCTTGCCTTGCTTTGTAGGATGAGAGCAGAGGTCAGGCCTCAGAGGCCCTATCTGAGATACTGAACACAGTTGACAGAGTCTGTTTCCAGAGGTTTGGGATGTGTGTGTTTAGCTAGAGTGGGAAGAAGCCAAAAGTGAGTACATTTTAATGGATTAAAAATTTAATCCATTAGATTAGATTGAAATTTAGTCAGTGAAAATAATGTTGCTTTCAAACTTTCTACTTGAATTGGTGTTAAAAGTCTAAGACTTTTAAGTGAGCCAGGGATTTAACTCAGTGGCACTGTGCCTGCCTTGCAAGTGCAAGGTCCTAAGTACAATCCCAGTATCAAAATAAATCTTTCAATCATGAGTTGTTTTTTAGTAGATGTAACTATGAGTGTTTATTGTGCATTTCTGGGCTGTGTCCTGTATATGTACATAGTATATGTGAATTCTGTTTCTCTTGCCTGGATTTGTTTCTAAAAGCTTCTAAAAAATGATAAATGGTATGGAGAGATTGTTAGGGAGCTCACCTTAGGAAAGGCCTGAGATTTTCCTGGAGGGACTGTAGGCTGACCCTTCGCAGCTGTGCAGTGCTCTCTAGGGCTGCTGCCATCAGTCTGGAGCTTGTCATTCTGTGTGGGAATGGCGGAGGAGCAGGCCAGGGACCCAAACTATGGGGAAAGCACTGGACCTCAGAGGGTGTGCACTTTGTGTGGTACTAAAATAGTGAAGACTTGCCTGTTACCTGTAGCTCTTTCTGGAGTCCTTCCCAACCTTTTAAATAACACAGGCTATTCTGTAATTTGGTTTTTGTTTGGTTTTTTGAGACAGGGTCTCACTATGTAGTTGAGACTGACCTGGAACTCACTATGTAGCCCAGGCTGGTGTCAAACTCACAGTGATCCTCCTGAGTGCTGGGATTACAGGCGTGCACCACCACGCCTGGCTGTAATTTGTTGAAAGAACAGTTTCCATCAGTTCTCTATTGTGTCATCGGCAGCAGCATAACCAAGTAGGTAAGAATATGACTGCTTGGTAGCCAGAAAGTCAGAATCCCCACTCCCTCATTGGCTGCTAAAGCACCTTTAAACAAATTTCTTTGTCTTCTTGTCAAAGGGGACAAATAATACCTGGCTTTTAGGAGTGAGGCAAAGGCTGAGGTAGAAGCAGCCTTGTACAAGTGTCACCAGTGACGAGAACCTCATGAGCACAGGCCCTGTGTGTTCCAGTTCCCGAGGTCTGGGGAGAGCTGTGACCCTGTGTTCTCAGCAAGCATCATGGCTCCTGGTGTCATGAAAAAGAGAACTGCTACAGAGTGGTGCCGAGGGACTGACATACAGTGCCACCGAGGGTAGGTGCCCCCAAGGACAGGAGGAGGCACATCACTCCCTTGGTTCAAGTGGCAGTATTGAGCTCTTAGCATTCAACATGATTTTTTTTTCTTTTACTGGAAGAAAAACCCAAAGAAGGACTGATTTCTAGGGTTCTGTGTGAGCTCCATGTTTTTTCCTCTCCATGACCAGTCCAGAATTTCAGCATTTTATCCCTTAAGAATCTGTCAGTTAGTTGATGGCTACAAAAATGTATGTAACTGTAGACTTCCCCCCCAGTCTTTTTAAAAAAGTAATATCCCCCAGTTTGCATAGGTGAGAAGTCTGGGCTGGGTTCTCTGTTTGAAGGTCTTACCAGCCTATACTCTAGGTACCGACCTGAGCTGTTTTCTCGTCGGAGACACAGATATTTCCAGGCGCGGAGGTTGTTGGCACAGTTCTTGTCCTGGCATTTGTTCCACTGGTCTTGTGAAAAGGTGCAGAGTGGTTCAGCCCTCTCTCCCAAAGTCTCATGTACACCTTCAAACCACTCTGTGGGCTGCGCTGCAGTTACCACCTTCCTCAGCAGGCATTGAGGTGAATTTCATCAGCCAAGAGTTTTTGTTTTGTTTTGTTTTTTAGAAGCTTTTAAAAGTCTTAACATTTAAACAAAGAAAATGCATGCTAAACACTATTTTTGAGGCTTAGAGAGCCGCGGCGGCTCTCCACACACTGCGTGTCAACAAAAGCAGCCTGTCTGCGCTCTGTAGTCTTTTCTTTCGGTACTTGTGGAGACTGAACCTGCTGTATCACACACACTGTGTCAGCACTCTGTCAGTGAGCAACATCCCCAGCCTTTTTCACCTTTTGAGACAAGGTCTCGAGTTCCCTAGGTGGGGCTCAAATGTGTGATCCTCTTGCCTCAGCCTCCTCTATAGCTGGAAAGACAGGCATGTATCACCGTGCCTGGCTCCCTCTCTGTTTTCTTATAGTACCTTTTACCTTAGGTGTTCCTTCAAAAATGACCCCTACTCTCTACCCTAAGGCCCCTACTTTCCAGGTGTTTGTTGAGGGAGTACTTTGAGATCTGTTGGAGGAAGTTTTAGATGAGAGGACATCGGCACATGTGGGGCTGTAAGTGTTTACCACACTTACCAGGTGAGGTCTGTGCTTGGGATTTGGCCATGTGGGGTCATGTTCCATGACTCCAAATGGAATGAGGGAGAATAAGCCAGGCTCAGAGGCAGCACCAGAGAACCAGGGGCTTTGATGGCGGTGGCATAAGTGAGCACATCTGCCTGCAGCCCTTGGTTCTCCCCAAGCCTCCCCCATAAGCAACAGACCCCAGTGGCCCCCCAGTTTGCATGGGATGTACTGCCTGGCACACAGCTGTCACTGCCATCAGAACCTCAGAACTGAAAGCAATCATTTGCTCTGTGGTTTCGTTTGGTGCTTCTTCCTGGGTGCTCTCAGTGGTGCTTTGTGTCCAGAACACCCAGACTGGCCATGGTCAGTTGTTAGCTGCAGCACAAGGACGGGATCCCAAGAGCGACTCCTACCTAGGGCGTGGGAGGTGGGCGGAACAATAGGAAGGTTTGTAGAGATGTTGGAGTCCTTATATCTCCTGAAACCTTATTTACTTTTATGCAAGTCTGTTCAGTAAGATTAGCTAAAAACAGCTTGGCTGTAAGGTGCTGGCTGATGGGGTTCTCAGAAAGTCTCGCTGTCTGGGTTCGGCTCCTCTCCCAGTCTGTGGAAGGACATGTGTTTCCCACCAGCACGCTGCCTCCTGTGCAGCACATGTGATTGCCAACCTCTGCCCTGCTGTCAGCTGGGGTTCAGAGGTGAGGGTGCTAAATGTCTGCTCCGTGACTCTCTGAGGTCCAGCCAGGCAAGGCTTTCACATTGCAGGAGGGTGGCTGTTATGCCTTTTGCTGATTAGAAGAAGTGGGTCCTCAGGAGAAGGATGGCAGTCACCAGGCAGAGAGGTCAGGGAACAGCTGGCCATCACTCTGGCCAAAGGGGCAGGGCAGCTGGAGCAGGGGCAGACCTGAGAGAACCCTTGTGCCCTGAGCCTCTTAAGTACTGTGGGCCCCGAGTCATCACACATCGTTCCACATAGAGATGGTTCCCATCTTAGGTTTAAAGAGACATAGATTTGGAAAGCATTCATTTACCTTAGGAAGTGTATAGTCTCAGTTTGTTGCAGTAAACTCAGGAGTTTTAAAGAACTCTGCAGACTGTCCTATTGATTTTGGAGAGCAGAAGGCTGCACTTAGGGACGTTTTCCTTTTCAGCAGTATCTGGTGCCATTCCCTGTTTGTCTATCTGATGCTCAGAGACCATCCCTTTAGCGTCAGTTCTGTAGTTCTAGTCGCTCCTTCCATGACCTCCTTGTCCCCTACATGGGGAACAACAAGGAGCATGACCCAGCTGAAGAAAACTCAGAGCAATTGAAGAGTTTCTGCAGCTAACTGTGCCGCCCTTGAGGCTGTGGAGGCCTTGGCTCTGTGACATTTGCCAGACTCCCAGACTCAGACAGACGATGGGTCTATAGTTTCTGGGCGGCCTGAAACATGGCAGGAGCCTGTTGGATGCTTGGGTTATCTCTGTCTTGGGCATTCCACAGCCGTGACTGTCAGCGGTGGCTCCCATGGAGTCCTCACTGAATTGGGTTACTGTTTCCCTGTCAGGGTTTGATGCGAAGCAGCCTAAACCGAAATGACCAGAGATGCTTAGCTGGTGACCTCATGCTGTGGGAACTGTCAGAGGGACCGTGTTTCCAGACTCCAGGCCACACTTGAGTGTGCGACTGTGCTCTGTGTTTCCGGCCAGAGCCTCCTGTTCTGAGTGAAGGGAACTGCGACCTTTCTATCCCAGTGTCTGCCCACTTATGTGCCTGGGTTCCTCTCTTCTCAGGAAAGGCTTCCTTGCCGTTCTGCTCAGCTCCCGGTACAGTTCCCTTCCCAGGGCTCACCACTAAGTCTTCTGTTTGGCAGTTCTGGGGATTGAACTCAGGATCTTCACACTGAGCTGTATCCCCAAGCCCTTTTTTTTTAGTTTTGAGACAGGGTCTCACTAAGTCTCTGAACTGCCTAGGTTGGGCTTGAACTTGTAGTCTTCTTATGTCAGCCTTCTGGAGTGCCTGGTGTACTACCATAACTGACTTGATGCTGCTTTTTGATAAGAAGCTATCTTCCCCCAGTTATGGGCTCAGTAAGGGCAGAAACTTCTGTGTGAGTGCCTGTCCTGATGCTGTCCCTGGAGAGCATCCAGTCAGGTGGAGATGTTGTCTGTGCGCTAAGCCATGTATGGAGACTGAGCACTTGAAATGCAA